TTTTTTTTTTTTTTTCCCTTTTAAATTTACCAAACGCGTGAAACAATTTTTGATGCTTTGACAATTAGTTAGGCTCTACAATTAATCCCAAAAAGGCTCTAAGGGCCTAGCGGTCCGTACAGTAAAGCATAACTAGCATGACAATCCTCATATACATGTGTGACTTAGTAATTGTCTCCCAACCGCATAGCTCGTAGTGTCTCCATTTAGCAAACTCATAAATTTTATCTAACATATATCCTCATCAAATTTCTTTCTTCATTGATAAGTGAACCTAAATACTAAGAGAATTACCCTATGGGACAACGTGAATCCACACTGTAATTCAACCGTCATTCCAGTTTATGACATGATTGAAAAACATTCTACATATTTTCTCTCAACTTACTTATCATCAAAACCTCTAGAATCTAAAATGCTCTTCCCCTTAATATAAAAACTGGGAAAAGAAATTATAATTTCATTATAGCATAAAAGGGCACATAAAACTACTGAAATAAAAAAGGAAACTTGTAAATTGAACCAATAAATGAATTAACAGAATCCATTTCTGTAAGCAAATAAATGGCCTAACATGCAATCAAATGGCACATTAAACACTCAGGAAAACATAAGGGATACAAACCAATCAAATTTACCAGGTTAAAACGGATATAGACACATCAAAAGATTAATTATTTTTCATATATTCATACAACAGGAATATATATCTTAAAAGACGGTACCTCAAGCAGAGTCATGGCATAAGTGATATAGCTCCGCATCCTGCCTTGGCTAGTAATCCGAATCTCATTCTCATTAATCGGTGTTTCCACCTTTGGCTTCTCAACCTTTTGATATCGATCCATGCTCTACAAAAATTATTTTAAAAAAATTCAATTTCACGTTTCGACAAGGAAATACAGAAAAGGAAAAGAAAAAAAAAAGATTTAATCAACATCAACAATTAAGAAAAAGGGCGACAACTAGGGTTTCTGCCAAAAAAAAAAAAAAAAAGGAATAATAGATCAGAAAAGTGAATTGAATTGAATTCTACTTTTTGTTTTAATTGAAAATTGCAGTTCAAAAATAAATTGCTCTACGATGCTAAGCCCTCTTCTTCGGCTCCGTTTCTCCGTTACGCCCTACCCGTATTTGCAGCGAATTCTGGATGATTTATAGTGGCGGTTTTGTAGCTACCCTTATTCCACGAGTGAAACCTGTTTGTTGGGAACTGGAATAAACTTATCCTGATTTAGGATAAGCCAACCGGCTATTCAATCCAAACTCCATTATGTGAAATCGATTAGGATTAATTAACTTAACTTCAAGGTTTAGAGTCAGTTGTCCTTGTGATATAAATTTTAGGGTTAATTAAGGTCTTTTTTTTTTTTTTCTTTTTTTTATTTAAACCGACGAAGCAAATTTTTCAACGGTCAAATCCTTGAAGTGAAAGAAAGAAAAAAAATTGTTCAATCTTTATGATAGGTCTGGCCAATAGTTCAATTTTGGCCCAAAAGAATCCTTGTCTAATTGTCACGGCTATTAACTTCAGAAAAATTCATATATAGCCATTAATAATAAAACATTTCATCATTTACGGTCATATTTTCATGCGGGACCTTCAATCTTGAATCAATATCGAGAAAATCAAGTACGTAATTTTTCTGTCATTAATAATTATTTTATGAATATGGGTCTTTTATACATAACCCAATCGTGGAGCATGTAATTTTTCAACTTATTCGAGTACGATTTGTCTTATGTTTGATATTTGATCTACCTTTTCAAAGTTAACATTTTTCTTTATGCCGCTGTTACATGGATTCATTTGCATGATTTTCCTATGTATACTTCGAAGCATTGTTGTTGTGCCATGTTTGAATTGTCATAATTATTTTCTATTTTACGGATGTGTTTTTCAGTTTGTTCGATTATGTGAGAACATCATGCAGCAGCAATTCCTTATCTTATGAATACTGTTTATAATGTTATACCCTGCCAAATTATGAGAAATATGTCCTCATGTATGAGCTTCGTGAATACTATCTTGAGTTCCTTTGTGTTTTGTGTTAGACTTCTAATTTGATCTTTGAATTCCTTCCCTGTCTGCACCTTAGTTAGTACATTTGTGAAAGATGGTAATCAATACGGAATTGGTATTTTTCCTCAAAAATCCAAGAGACGGACTGAAAGGCCTAGGGAGATGTGGAATGAATGAGGTTGGAGCCGCTTCATCCAACAATGTGTGGATGTTGCAGGGGAAAGGGACACAATAGAAGAACGTGTAAGTAACCACTGCCAATGTGTCATGTACGAAAGGTCAAAATCGTAGTGGGCGACAAAAGACCGACACCACGAGGTTAATTAGATTGTACATAGTTTCAAACTTGTCATCATGATGTTTAATCTTCTACTATGTTTAATTTAGTTTATTAAATCATGGTCTACATGATTTCCTTATTACATGATTTGTGACATATGAATCATTTATAAAAATGAAGAATGTCTCCCAGTATATTTTAGATCGCTCATCTTGCTGATTGTGTTTGTGTTTTCCATTTAAAGTTGTTGGAACGTGTCCATAAAAAATGGCGTTGATGAGGAATGCATCATCAGTTATAATGTAAATTTCATTTGATGTCGATTTGTGTGATGTATCCTGATATTGAATTGAATCCTCATACTCAGATAATGGAACATCATTCATTTTCAATATGCATTTTGATAACATATAAAATAACGCTTGTATGGGAACTGTATTTGACATAAGTTTTGGTTTTTAATATTTGGAACTAAAATCGGGTAAGGGAATAAATGTTGTTCATGAGTAAATGAGAACATCTCATTTCCTTTCTCATCATCCTTTGTGAAAAATAAGCTTTTAATAAAAGTAGCACTAGTATATGTACTTGCGCAATTCTGAATTTTATCTTATATTCTATTGTCTAATAACCACATCTATGCATCTGGCTAACAACCAACAGGCAAACGGGGAGCACTCAGTAGGAAATAAAGATTTTTAAAAAAAGGTTGAACTCCAACCTTGAGGGCTCCTACCGTCTTGTCCCTAGAGTTTTGTGAGGGAGGTAAATTGCGGGATATGTAAACAAATCAGGGAACAAGAGCTTCATGTACACTGCGTTTACAAGAATTTTAATTTCATGTCTCAGGAATCGAACCCTCACACTGCGGCTGCCAGCAAGACGTGAGATATCCTTACTCTTATCCTTCATACCACTGAACTATGTCTCGAAGGCCGAAAATAAAGATTTTTAATATAATATTTGGCACAGCCTTCCTTGGGACTTTATCAGCCTTCAAACATAATGCACGTCAGGTCATTTTACATATATTTGTTATATTCTTCACATAATCCTTTGCATTCTTTTTCAATAGTTGATATCTCCTCGAGATGAAGGTTCCACAATCAAAATCTTCGGACAATGGCAAATCATATTCATCAACTTTTACAAATGCATTATATTTTCACTTTTTAAATCGTCCGAATGGGGGCAATCTCCTGTAATTATATTGCCCCCATCTAACCTAAAAGGTTCATTATAATATTTTAAAATTTCCTTAGCGCTCAATAGAGAAAGACCATAATGCCCTCATCCAAATCAAGCATATTGTTTCTCAACATTAATTTATATTCTAATTTGGCAAAATATCAAGTTTGTCGTTTTCATCCAACTCGGCAAGTGTTGTTGGTCAACTTCTTAAAAATTATCTAAATTGGAGAAATATCGACATGTCAAATTTAGTACATCACAAGTTAGATCTCCTCCAAGCACGTCTTTGTTGCCGTTTCAAGATAAACCATTGCAAAAATTTCCTACTTCTTTGCGTCTCTTCGTCCCCTGTGAATGGGAAAAAGGAAAAAAAAATGAAAAAAGTAAAGCAATTATAAAGAGAAGAGGAAAAAAAAAATACAACTAAAGCTAGAATTAACTAAAAACTAACTAAATAACTTAATTATATAGCAAAATTTATTTTTAATTTTTATTCAACAAGTGTACGGATCGTGAACGGTAATAAAGTGGAAGCAAGTCAAAATATTGATTCCACAAATAATTAGTATTTAGTCGAGTTCACAATTAACTCTACGTAAAAACACAATGTATTGATGTGATGGTGATTATTAACAACTTAAATCTATAATTAATCTAACTAATGTAACTATGTGGTAGGAAATGTTATAACTACTTGATTGATTGATTAAGTACTGGTATCCCCTGTTCCCCTACGTTCATTCATCTTAAACATTAATTCCACAATGTGACAACAACGACTTTAATATAAAGATCAATGTTCTTATCGTATTCAATAGTCCTCTCGAGATCAATCGAATATATTACTAAGTACGGCGTAAAATATCTTTATTCCGCATTTATATACGAAGTAATACATTAAAATACATGCACATCAATTAAATCATGTGAGAGTTAGACATTATTTCTAAAATCTATTTAACCTTACAATTTATGTTATCCATATGCTGTCTTTCCCATTCATTCTCCCCAATTTTAATAGGAAACATCAATTCAATTAGTGCCAATTAATTATAGATATTAAGAGCATAACAAACATTCAACACCAACCAATTGCCTTAATGTCAAGAGCATATAATTACTGTTTAGATATCAAAATAAAGGATCCAACGTTATTCTAACATCTAAATAATTTAGCCAAACATCATAATATTAATAGAACACAAGAATAATAAATACAACATCACCCGTAAATTAGGATTTGGGAAGAAAGATGGAAAGTGGTATTGAGTTTTGAATTGCTACAACGACTCTTGATTTCCTCTCATTTGATCTTTTTCTTCAATAATCCCCAAGCCATTGATGTAAAAATATGTACATGTGTCTTGTATCAAAAGTTTCTTCAAAGCTTTAAAGGAAATAATGATTTGATCGTTAATTGACTCTCTCAATAATGTAGAATTTGAGTATTTGAGCCCCCAAAATTCCTCTCTTGTTTTTAGATGAATATCCATATTTAAAGGACAAGATTTAAGTCAAATTTGTGCCCTAAAAGGTTTCCAAAAAATGTTTTGATTAAAAAAAGGAAAGAAATAATTTTTTCAGGATCAAACTATACGATCACAAAGTATAGGGACTACGATCACACAATGGACAAGCTCTGGGGACTGCCCAAGCAAGCTCCCTAGTTTTCATCTATTACAATTTAGTCCCCACATTTCATCTCTGTTCAATGTGCATCATTTCTCCTTTGCAATCTTCATCATTTAGCTTTATTTCATCGTACGTTGGTCTACAACAATCATCAATAATTCAAAATTGATCCGATGCAAGTTTCAAAGAGTGTGTGATTAGTTCTCGAAACTTATGAATCACTTCCAATTGCTTCTATATATAAATATTTCGTTGATCAATTGCAAATCAGTTGATAATCAATTGTTTCGAACCAACTCCAATTTAGCATCAATTTCACAATTTTTTCATGTAAATTGCATCCAAGTTTGGGAATTACCTATAGTTAACATATTGATATCTAAATTAGGTAAATATTCGCTCAATTATCACTAACCAATTAGAAATAAATGTTGACCGATTTAAATTGAAAATTGTAAACTTAGAGAAATAATTTTAATAGGGAATTCTATTTAAAGTTTACTTCACATATTTTTCGAATTAAATCATACAATAATAGGAATAATATTATGAAATTAGGCTAACTTACCATTATAAAAGGTTGAATTGTAAAGGAACAAATACAGTGCGAATGACTTGTCAATGTTACAATAACGGTATAGTAACTAATTTTATGAACAAAGCTCAGTATTATATTATATTATATTTTTTTTATGAAACAAGAAGTTACATTTTTTTACTCCTCAATTATAGATGAAGAAGTTAAGTATCTCATTATCGAGTATTTTTGCTTTTAAATTTTTTATAGACACGATAAATTAAATGATATTCAATTATGTGGAAAATTAAATATTTTATTATTATGATATTCATAATATGCAAGAAAATTTCAACCAAGTATGACAAACTAAACGTCTCAAATATCTCTATTAAAACTTTAACAATATCCTAACACCCCTCAAAACGTTGAAAATTAAAATTTTTCAAAAAAATTTCAAACTAAACTAAAATAAAATGTTAATTTTCACTATTTTTTCAGCCATTTAATCATCTTGTGAGAGTTTTCGGGACATGAAATGTAATACTTAATAAATTTTTAATCAAGTCGACCAACATCGATCAAGATCTATCTAAATCATATTTTACTGAAAATATCTTTATTAACCGACGGTTGAGCTGAAAACTTGATAACCTGGTGAATTGATTAGATCAGTGTTCGAACTTGGTCTAATAACTACGATCTAATGCATATGCATCAAATCTGGTGTCCTTCAAACTTCAAACAAAAACAAAAGAAAGGGGAAAAAATAACAGTAAAGCATATTTTATTTCATGAATAAAAGACAAGAATTTTTTTAGGACAAATGACATCCTTACATTTCTTAAAAGTGTACCAAATTCAAATGTAATGCCCAACTTTTAGAATTACCACAATAGAATGTGCATATGTATATAAGAATATTAAATAAGTTTTAGAATAAAATATTTGAACTCATCATGTTTCTCCCTTAAAAGAAAAATTTACACTCCCATCAGTGCCATGTAAAGTTAATCATAGGACACAATTAGAGGTGTAAAATTAAAAGGTTTGGCACGATTGGACTACAAAGTGTAGAAGTTGCTAGGTAGCTAGCCGGACGACTTGCTGCAAAAATTGTAAAGGTCTCTTTCTTTCCACAATTAGGACTAGTCGTATTTTAATGATTTAGTCGAATGCTTAATAATTTGAAATTTAGATCAATTGTTAGTAAAATAATGACTATAAAAAACTATCCAATCTACAAGTTTACATAGAATTCACAATATGCCTCCGCACATGCTAGTATCATTATGCAAATTAGGTAATCGTGACGTTGTTAGACATTATGCAAATTAATGATACGAGGTTATGTGGAATGCAACTAAGAATAAGTTAACATTATAATGACAGATAAACAAACATTACATGTATTCTATACGACGTTAGAAAGTGAAATGCAACTAAGAATAAATTAACATTATAATGACAGATAAACAAACATTACACGTATTCTATACGACGTTAGAAACATTTGAACACCATCCTTTCAAAAGTTCACTCTAACATTCACTACACAAGTATTTCAAATCAACAAGAAGGATGAAATAAATTATTTTCAATGAGAAAGAAAAATATAAACATGGTAAATATATTAATCAAGTGTATTCAGTCCCTCCCTGTTTGATATAGCTTAAGAGTGTTTGGTAGAGATTAATATTATATATTTTTTAGTAGATTATAATAGAAATTTTTGAAATGTATGGTTGAAAAATTATGAAATTTATGAAAAAATTGATTAATATTGATTGTTTGACTTTGACATAAATTAAAATCTTATTTTAATTCGTACCAAACATGCTCTTTAGAAGTTAATAAAAAGTTGAGTCAAATCAAAAATGGATAAATATATATGTGCCGAGGGGCGAGGGGGGTTACCGAATGGTGTCCCCCCCTCAAAATGTATGATGAGCCTGCATGAATTTAAAAATGACGGTCCATGGTTTCCACCTCTATTGTGGGCAGCAGGTAAAAGATTCGGTACGTGTAAGATTGTCTATCAAAAATTAATTATAACTGAATATTTCATTATACATGATCATATATTAATAAATATATTAAAAATTATTAAAAAAATTGATGTTTATCTACAATGGGCTCAATTTTTACAAAATCTGTAGGACATAATGTGTGGGTCACAACTGTGTCATGTACTCTACAATGAAGAAACACGTCAGCTTCCCAACAATTTCTGTTTCGCTTCTTTTGCATTCCTCATTAATATCCGTTACCATTCTTGCATTTCCTAAGCTTCCCATGGAAAGATTTTCATTAGAAATCACTCGATTTGTAAATTTATTCATTGTGGTTACCAAACTCTATTTTATTACTAAATAATCAACGTACATATGTTTTGTTTTGGCCTAATCATTACTCTGTAAAATTAACGGAATTGTTCCCCGTACTCATATATTTGACATACTTATTTAATAAATAATCATAATATTTAACTTAAGTTAATCCAACGCTCAATATCATATAGATGTCAAATGATTATAACAAACTCTCATATAATCTTACTGAAATATATATTGAGTATTTGATTGATTTAAATTAAAAATCATGATTATTTTGTCAAATAAGTGTGTCAAATTTTTGAGTATGAGGAATGGTCTCCAGAAACCCTAATAATCCGCCCCATTTATCAAAAACACATTTTTGTCGTGGTTGAATTAAGATTTTAAGAGACAAGTGCTATAATGTATAGCTTTTAAATGTTCTCAAAATCAAATTTCACCAGCCAGCTCAACTTTTTTTTGGATATTTATCTCTAATTTTTATTTTAGAACCAATTCGACTCCGATTACCTCTCTAACCCATTCTTTATTTGATATCCAAATTGATTATCGAAATATTGCTATTTTCATTTATGTGGTGAAAAGGGAAATAATAAACTCGAATTGATTTTTTTGAACTATAGCTATAAGATTTGAACATGGGGTGAGCCAGTGACGGATTTAGGAGGACTGGGCTGGGCTACAACCCAATTCTCTCAAGCCCAATTCAATTTTTTGATGGTAATTTTTTTTATAAATAAAAAAAATGGGTCATTTTTCTTTTTTCACAATAATCTGGCTAAATTTTTTTTTAGTTTGATCCTGAATCCATCCCTAGGACGAGCCATTAGTTTTAAGTAGAGCGTCCAGAGGAATGGTCGAATTGTAACAAAAGCATAACTTATATGATTAGTTTAAAACAAAATGAAGTTTGATGTTTGACTATGAAATAAGCTAATAAGTGGGTGATATCTATTTAAAAATACCACATCACCTTACGGCCTAACCCTACCCTACTCCCCATTCATTGCATACATCCAATCGACCACCTAAACCCTTCCCCACCACGAAACCACCACTATCTTGCTACATGTACATAAGAATTATACAGATAGGATGATACATGGTTAGGTGGCAAGCATTCATTCCATATATATTGGGTAAAAGACAATCTTAAACCAGCTAATTAATGCATGTCATCTGTGTATCTGGCATCCCTTCTGCCAAAAGCTTCTGTACAAGAAGCTTTATTCCATATATAAACCATTTCATTTCCACACAACACTCATACCGTTAAACTGAGCCATGGTGTGCATCACTCTCCAGCCCCCCTAGATTTAAAGCCCATTCTCTACCTTGAATACGCTTGTAGAGACAGAAAAGAAGGGAATTAATGCTATTTTCAGTGTTTCTTCTACTCTTTCTACCATGCGCCAGCTTGGGTGTAGTGTTCCTGCTTTACATCTGTTTGCCATGGTGCGCTGACAGTTCCAACAACCCGGAGTTCCAGTCTCCTGTAAAGCCCGGTCGAGGAACGGGTCTCTCTACCGACGATCTTAAAAAAATCCCAAAAGTCACCGGAAAAGATTTGGTTCTGGGCACTGATTGTGCTGTGTGTTTGGACGACATTGAGAGTGATCAACTGGCTAGAATGATTCCCGGTTGTAATCATGGGTTCCATCTAATGTGCGCTGATTCTTGGCTGTCTAAGCACCCGGTTTGTCCTCTTTGTCGGGCCAAGATTGGGCCCGAACTCCTCAATCCTCCTGAGAGCAATCCTTGTTGACTGTTAAATGGAGCATTGGACAGCTTGAAGCCATGAAAGGTGTAATTAATTAAAAAGTTTTTTTTTTTTTTCGATCTTTTTTTGGCACTATATACTCCAACATATCACTTCTTTCCATCCATTTCTATCGTTAAAATGATGAATATGTTGTCCTATTTAATAAAAAAAAAAAAAAAGACCTGATTGGTGTAGATTCTGTTAAAATAAAAATTTTGTGGAAAGTGAATTCTTTGAAAAACTTGTAGTTAAAAAGAATGTACTAATCAATGTGCAAGATTATTTTATTGTAAGAATGTGTAATTAGAAATATATTTTGGAGAATGACGAGTTTTAAAAATTTTGTACAAATAAATAAAAAATAAAGAGAAAATTGTAATAGAAATCTCAAGTCTTTTAAAAAATAACAAATATAGGCCTCGTTTGATATTCATTTTTTCGAAATGTATTTTTCTTTCTCTTCTTTTCAACCACACATTCTTTATTATAATGATATTACAAGCAAATCAAAAACTTTCCTTATTTTTAACCATACATTTTCCATCAATTTACTATTCAAAAATACATTTTTACATAAAAATATTTTTCAAACATCCTCATAATGTCTTCGGAACACACATAATACCAGTCAAACTAAAACACGTGTTAGAACAAGGCAACCCTAAACAGAGCAGCCGTTCATTCCTATGCCAAATCGAAAGCGACCACCGTCCAACTCCACCAATCTACAGTGGCCATTTTCTTCAATAAATTTTGAAAGCTGCAATTTCCATTTCAACCTCTTAGACTGTAGAATCAACAACTGGCAACTGGTCACTTTTGCTAAACAACTGTTGATGATGATATTTTATTAGCCCTTTTTTATTGTTTTCTTCCAATTTTTAGTTATTGGTGGAACCCAAATCTAGAATTCTATTTCCACCTTTCATGTCCTTTTCAATCTTTATCCGAAAATTTGCCAAATCGAAAGCGACCACCGTCCAACTCCACCAATCTACAGTGGCCATTTTCTTCAATAAATTTTGAAAGCTGCAATTTCCATTTCAACCTCTTAGACTGTAGAATCAACAACTGGCAACTGGTCACTTTTGCTAAACAACTGTTGATGATGATATTTTATTAGCCCTTTTTTATTGTTTTCTTCCAATTTTTAGTTATTGGTGGAACCCAAATCTAGAATTCTATTTCCACCTTTCATGTCCTTTTCAATCTTTATCCGAAAATTCTTGTAAGTAATATATTTCTTGATATTTTTTTTCTTCAGCCATCCACCAGTTTTAGTGTAGATTTCCATTTCATCTTGGTTCCGTTTGTCATCAAAATTTCTTCTTTTATTCTTATAAGTTAGTAGTAATGATATTGGTTGATACATCAACTATTTGTATTCTTGTTTTAAATTTTAAATGATATCGAGTTTAGACTTGGAAGCTTAGGTGTTGTATTTTTCGAATTAATAGTGTTATTCCACATCAGATTAGGTATCAGCATATCGCATGTTCTATTAAATGGATAATAATTCTTCATATTTAATTGAGCATCTAATTTAATGCCACTACTTTTAACAATCAACGGCGCTAAATATCATTACTCTGTTCGAACACGCTAACGATTAATGTCAAAATTTTGAGGCAAATTATTTTTTTATTTCGACGCGAGTTGTAGGGAAAGGGAAGGAGGTGGAGAATGTTTGGATAGGGGATCCTTGGACTCACAGACCTCACCTTACTGGTCTGGCCTTGGCTTGCATAGTATCCTGTATCCACAGTAGGATTACACAAAAATATGACAAGAAAGAAGTTATTAACACTAGAAGAATAAATTCAGTAAAATTTTGATAAATGAAAGATAAGTATTTTACAATTACTTAAATTTGCTAGGGTTTTTTTCCTTTTTTTTTTTTTTTGGAAGTCGAGTAAATTCCAATTTCCAATCACCAGTGAGCGTATATATGTAATTTTACTTCTTGATAACGTATCATAAGTGGTTATATTTATACCACATTTTAATTGATTAAATGTTCTTAAGCTTAATTCATTTTTACTTTTATGTTTGCAACCATTTTTTATAGCACTATTATCCTTAACCTGTTATTAATTATAACGTGTTATACCTAGTAACAATTTTTGTTTGACTATTATCTTAACATGCTTTAAAATAGGATACAAATATCCAGTCGTAATTTGTATTTGTTTTTTTTAAGTCGACTATGTGGTTTGGTTCGAAGAGAATCAAGCCTAATCGAGTAACGATGTGAATCTTAGAAATGGAATCATACGAGCTAGTTTCTACTTGGTCCATTTATTTATGTTACAAAAATTTTACAAACTACTTGCTTCATGCTGCAGTTAGGGTTGAACGAAGAACGATTGTATCTCCATAATAACAGCTCTACAACAATTTATTATTAACAATTTAGAGCATCTTCAATAAAACTCTCTATTTTTAATGAGGATACTCTATTATTTAGAAAGCGTCTATAAATTTAGAGACAAAAAATTTTAAAGTACTTCAACAGGCTCTTTATATTTAACACTTAATTTTACTACTCTTAAAAAATATGTATATTATTTTTCTTTATCTTTTATTTTAATTAACTTTTCTCTATATTATTATATTATTTTCTTACATTGAAAATTAAAATAATTAGAATGCATTTAATTATGGAGAGGTGGTTTGGCTCTCCAAATTCACTCTCTAAATTAAAATATTAATTTAAACACCCTTTTGGTACATTATTTTAATGGTTGAGTCTTTAAAATAGAGAGCATTTGATGAGATCCATAGTACAAGAGTTAGCAAGGATAAAAATCTGTTGATCGTGGAGAAAGGACCAATGACTAAGTCACGAGCAAAAAAGGTCGAAGAAGTCATGAGATTACTTATTCAAGTTACGGTGAATGAAACATTGATCAGAACAAGCAAAGGGGCAAGTTTAATGTTAGGCATTGAAGAAGAAACATGATGGTTCAACTTGATTCAAGCGACAGATGGAGGAGCTAAGGAGCGATCGCATGTCTTCATACAGAAAAAATCAGCTAAAGTTTTGACATGCCCATACGATCGCATTCACTAGTACTATGCGGCCACATAATACAATTCTGGAACGCGAAATTTTCAAATTTCGCGTAATCTCTTATTTTAGTTAAAATTCTATTTTATGGTATCTTTTAATATTTTTAGATTTTATTTCCGTTTCAACTAAAGTTTTATGAGTTACCTATATATAGGACTCATTCTTTTCATTATGAAGACAGACAATTTTAGAGATATTATTACAAGGCATATTTGCTTTTTTACTTGTTCTTCATTGAATTAATTTCCAAACTTATCAAGGATTAATTTATTGTGGCATTCAACAATTCAAGTAAGTTTTGTGATCATGGGGTCAATATATTGTTTACGATTGTCTTTGTTCTTTGATTTAATAATTTATCGGGTCAGCTTTTTGCAAATGTTGATTCTTAGCTTTCTTGCATTTGATCTAATTTGTTATGGGTTCTCTAGTTTCAATTGTTGCATGGATTTGCATCATTTGGTATCAAAGTTTGGGTTCCAAAATTCAAGGTTATATCATTTACATTTTGTTTAAGTTTTCATCCTCGTTCTTCATGTTCTTCGTGTTCTTCATCTTTTGAGTCATTCAATCTAACTAGCTCCAAACAAGTTTAAAAGTTGTTTGTGCGCTAAATTAGTGCCCAAGTCAATTTTTTTTTTTTTGAATTTTTGGACTCATTGTTTGAATTCTCACGAGTTTAGTGAAAAAAAAATTAGAAAATTTGCAAAAAAAAAAAAAAATGGTGTTTAGCAATTGAAAAAAGGAGAGTAAAAAAGATACCAAAAGTGTCCAATTCAACTTCAAGAAACACCTTCTTAAATTTATCCTTAGTGCTCCATTGGAGTATCAACTCCTACTTTTTGGGTTATTCTAGAGTCAAAATTTTCCTTACTTAATTTTTTATTTGAACTCCACTAGAATTGAAATTTGATCGAGATCGAATTAGCTCTTTGAAGCGCTTACAAGGAAGTATTGAATGGAAAAAGGTAGAGTGGTGAGACTAATAGAGTGAAAAGTCAAGTTGAGTAATACACGAGTGTACACACGTAAGCAAATATTATTCTAGATTTATGATGTCTAACAGGGGTGATTTTACTTCAAGTGGAAAGAATAATCAAATCATCATGATGGAAAAGATAATACACCGATTTGAGAGATTGTTTGGAGATATGGGAGATCGAATGGATAGGTAGGAGGAGTGAATGGAGAGGCAAGACACATTACTTGACAATTTATGCAGGGAACAACCTAGAGGAGCTCCTAACGCAATGAGGCATGACAGGCGGGAGCCTAGATCTGAAATTGACGGTAAAAATAAAATGGGTAGTGGGATTGATGATGATGAATTAGTGGAGGCTGAAATAAGAATGGTGAGGAATAGATGAGATATGCATGATAAAAGGGCTAGAGATTATGATAGGATGGAGTTGATAGGAATATGAGCAATATTAAAATGACAATTCCATCATTCAAGGGAAGGAATGATTCAGAGGCATATTTGGAATGGAAAAATAAGAGAGAGCTTATATTTTATAGCTGTTAGGCAATTTGTTATCAAACGACCTCTCGGGCAATGATGTAACCTCGATTTTATTTATTATCAATTGGCCTTGGCCATATGATTGAATTATATGTCAACACTATCATCTAGACAACCCAACCCACATCTCTATGGACCGTTAGAAGAACCTATTTTAATAGTGTTGCTCATAGTCCGTCCCATTTACTTGGAGGGCTATGGTATTCTTTTGGAGCCCATTACCTTGTGTTGAGCCTTGTTTTGACCACTAAGTTAACCTAACCTAACTTACCATTTTTGGGTCACTCATTTGGCTTATAACTTACGGCTCATCTACGCCTCCACTATGAAGAACACTCCATCTCTTTTTGTGACATTGATTCTCGGCCTCTTTCCTTCATATAACCTGTGTGGTTTCTCTTGGGCTATATATTGTTCTTTATCTTGGCCGACTCTTTGTGAGTATGTATATAGCAGCCATATGTGTGAAGGAAGGAAGTGGAAGTTGGGTGTTGTCTTAATCGTGGTTATGTCGATATATGGTGGAAACTGAGCCCGGTATCACCTTGGTTATTGCTGAAATTACACC